CCCCCCCACAGAATTTTTTTTTAAATTCACTAAATTGCCCTGGCTGGGTTTGAAATTGTCATCGGCCTGTCTCAGCCTCCCAGAGTGCTGGGATTACAGGCCTGTGTCACCATACCCAGCTAGCAGAAACATTTTAACTCAACATTGTTTCCCATTGCAGCGCCTGGTGGTGGCATGCCTGAAATCCCAGCACTGCGGAGGCTGAGTCAGGAAGATTGCTACAGGTCATAGGCCAGCCTGGAGTCCATAGTGAGTTCAAAGCCAGCCTGAACTACATAGTGAGACCCCATCAAAATAATAATAAAGTAAAAGTAAGGCGCTAAGCACAGGGTGCTGAAGCGAAGTTCCTCAGACATCCCACACTGCGGCGTCGGGCGCCCGTCCTAGTCTGGGCGGTGTTACTGCGCACGCGCACGGGTGCCCCCCCCCCCGGCGTGAGCTGCGGCCGCCAGGGGGCGCCAGGAGATAGCGGCTGCCGCCGTAGGCTCCCCGAGGCCTAGATTGACACGTAGGAGCCGGCGCATGCTCCGCACGCGTGCGCGCTGCGCGTCCTCCCAGCCAGCATGGCGCGGGTGGAGCACGTTGTGGCCGACGCCGGGGCTTTCCTGCGGGACGCGGCTCTGCAGGTACGCGAGCTTCGGCCTAGACGGCCGTGGCCTGGGCCGCGGGGCCTTGAGGGAGCCATGGGGTCGGGCGGCCTGGTGCGCGGTGCGGGCGGCTGTGAGCTGGGCCCGTCTGTCCGCAGGACATCGGCAGGAACATCTACACCGTCAGGGAGGTGGTCAGCGAGATTCGGGACAGGGCCACGCGCCGGCGCCTCGCCGTGCTGCCCTTCGAGCTGCGCTTCCGGGAGCCGCTGCCGGAGTACGTGCGGCTGGGTGAGTGCCCGCGGGCCGCGACGGGGGCCCTCGTCGTGCCCGTCCCCAAGGTGGCAGGGGACGTGGAATGAGGACCTGGGCGCTGTCAGCACGCAGCGCGGGCTGCAGACGAGCGTGCCCTGGGTGGGCTGAGAGCGCGCGGTGCCGCCGCGGTCCCTTCTTCCCCAAGAGCCTGGATTCGGTTCCTGGCGCTGCCACACGCTCCCCCGCGTGGAGGAACCCAGGCCGCTTACTCTCCCTCGTTTCCTTAGGGTGATGGTTGTGTGCTTGTTTTGAGACTGTGTAATCCAGGCTGGTTTAGGACTCGCGGCAGTTCTGCCTCAGTCTCCCTAGCGCAGATGTGCCACCACACCCGGCCCTGATACTTGTTTCTGTCTCTTTGGGACAGGGTCTCTATGCCGTTAAGGCCGGCCTTGAGCTCACTTTGTAGCCCCAAGACAGGTCTCAAACTTGCAGAGATCCTCCTGGCTCTACCTCTGAGTGCTGGGATTACGGGCTTGTGCCACCACGCCCGCCCCGTTCCAGGCCTCAGGGTCGGCGCCCGCATCTGGGCGTGTAGGGCCTTGTGCTTGCCTGGTAGGTGCTTTTGCCCCTGGGCCATCTCTCCAGCCTCTTTATTTTTAAAGAATTGAGAGCAGGGCTGGGAATACAGCTGAGTGGCACAAGCGCCTGCCTGGCTAGGGCAAGGTCCGAGTTTGATTCCTGGTACCACCCCCCAAAAAAGTGAACGTGAGAAATTTTGTATGTCGTGCCATTGTAGAAGAAATCTTTCTGCTACTATTAGAACATTTCAGGGCCAGGCAGATGACTCAGTGGAATAAGTGCTTCCTTGGCAAGCACAAAGGCCTGAGTTCAATCCCCAGTTCTGCAAAAAATATATATATTTATATTAGAAAATTTCAATTGTTGATTCTGAATGAACACAGTAGTAACAGTTAATGTTTACTGTACATTAAGGATGGGTTTACTTTTTTTGAGACAGGATCTATACAGTTCAGGCGGGCCTTGAGCTCGCGTTGAAGCTCAGGCTGGTCTCTGATTTGCTATAATCCTCCTGCCTCAGCTTCCGAGTGCTGGGATTACAGATGTGTGTCACCACACCCAGCTAGAATTATGGGGGTTTTTTGCTGCAAAACTGGTCCGATGGGGAGGTAGCAGTCTAAGCTCCTGCCTGGCAAGTACAAGGTCCCAGGTTCGATCCTTAGTACCACATGCTGTGCCGGCCCAATGCAGTGCAGGTTACTAAAACTGGGCATAGTGGCGCACTCCTGTAATCCCAGTGCTGGAGAGGCTGAGACAGAAGGATCAATATGAGTCCAACCTGTGTAGCAAGACCCTGTACCAAATAAATAATCATTTTTTAAAAAAAAACCTGTCCACTGGCCAGGAGTGGTAGCACATGCCTATAATCCCAGCACTTGGGAGGCTGAGGCAGGAGGATCACTATGACTTTGAGGCCAGCCTGAGTTACATGGCAAGACCCTATCTCCAAAACAAAAAGTGCATTGATTTATTACAGTGGCATGGAGTATTTTTGTTTCAGTATAGACTACAACTTTCGTTGTTTTACTGGGCAGTGGGAATAGCTGCTAAGAGACAGGAGAGGGCTGCCCCTGTTGGTGTAAGCTGCTACATGTAGAATCCAAGGACTGGGAGAAGAGAACTTGCCGCGTAGCACAGCTGCAATACAGAACTCTAATCAGACACAAACCCAGCGACGTTCAGTGGCTTTTTATGAGCCTGGTTCTGTTCTTGCATCTGTACTTGCTGAAAACACTACAGCCAGCCTCACTGGGGTGGGTCTTAGGGGCGGGGATCGAGATTCTCAGCTACAAGCTGGAAAGGTCAAAAGCATGAATAAAGATGTCAAAGTTTGGGTGGGCTGTTGACCTTCTTGGCTTTCCCTGCTACTCTTGTTGTGGCTCTTCAAGTTCTGCTGGGCTGTTGACCCTAACTAAAGTCAGAAACCTTCTTCACAGTGACTGAGTTTTCAAAGAAAACCGGAGACTATCCCAGCCTCTCGGCCACGGATATCCAGGTACTGGCGCTCACATACCAGTTGGAGGCAGAGTTCGTTGGAGTGTCTCACCTAAAACGAGAACCAGAGAAGGTAAACCAGGATTGGAGGTTTAAAAAAAAAACTTTATTATGGAAACTCAGTTTATGTAAAATTTTTCAAAGTAGAGAGCACAGCACAACAAACCCAAAGTGTCTGCCACTCGGCTCCGCAAGTGTTCTGTCAAGATGCACCTTGGTAGTGAGCCACAGCCCTGTGTACTGTGAACTTGGACTTCTGTGTTTCACAGAATTTCTTTGCCTGTTGTCTTCTTAAAAAGTTTTTGACCTTGTTAGGGACCAAACCACAAACTACAGGTGTATGTAAAAGTCAGTTCTCAGAGCGTGGTGACATACACCTGTAATCCCAGCATTGGGAGGCCGAGGCAACAAGATCGCCACGTTGGAGCACAGCCTGGGCTACATAGCAAGACTGTCTCAAAAAACTAAAAAAAAAAAAAAAAGTGAAAGAACAGTACTTTAAAAGTAATAATAATAATAATAATAACCTCAAAGCCAACTTTATTTTTGCTTTGAGACTGGGTCTCACTATGTAGTCCGAAATGGCTTTGAACTCACTTTGTAGCCCAGTCAGTCTTGAACTCAAGATCCTCCTGTCTCAGTCTGTCAGGTGCTAGTCAAAGCCATCTGTTATTCCTAACAGAAACAATAGTAATTTTTAATGTATTAAATATCCACTGAGGACATAGCTCATTAGAATAAGCACTTGCCTGGTAAGCGCGGGGTCCTGAGTTCAATCCCTGGTACTACCAAAAAAAAAAAAAAAAAAAAATATATATATATATATATATATATATATATATATATATCCACTGAATAGTCATATTTCTCAGCTACTTTATAAATGTTATTTGTGGGCCAGAGAGATAGCTTAGTGCCATAGCGCCTGCCTGCCTGCCTGGTGAGCGCAGGGTCCTGAGTTTGAACCCTGGTACCAAAAAAGTTATTTGTTTGGGTCAGGATCCAAACAAGATTCATGTATTGCAGGTAACAAATACGCTTTAATTTCTTACCTGTAGGTTCTGTTTCAATTGAGACAGTGCAGAGAATAATTCTTCTAGTGCTGACCAAGAATTGCTTGATCTTGAGGCATATGCCTGTAATCCCAGCACTCGGGGGGCTGAGGCAGAAGGATTGCTGTGAGTTTGAGGCCGCACTGGGCTACATAGTGGCTTCAAGGCCAAGCTAAACTGTATAGCAAGACCCTGTCTCAAAAAAAGAAGAAAAAAGAAATAAAAACAAAAAAATTGTTTGGCCTCCTTTACCTATCTAGTGTTGTTGCCAGCCCTTTTTCATTCTTTAAGACACAATCTCACTAAATTGCCCAGGCTGGGCTCAGAAGTTGCAGTCCTCCTGCCTTAGCCTCCCGGATTCCTGGGGTCACAGAAGTGACCACCGCAGGTGCCTTAAAGTAAGGTGCTCTTTGACCAAGCAATGGCACTTAGAGGTGTTTTACAGTTGTGTGTATAATGGCAAAAAAAAATTATTTTATGGTAGTAGTATTGCTAAGTATTACCATTTTTAAACATTTTCTTAAACTTTCTAAACAATAGGCATCTTTGATTTAAGTAACCAGGGAGAAGTACTGAGGATTTTGTTCTTCTAGTACCTTTCTGTGTGGAAAGCTAAAGAACCTTGCTCAGCCCTAGTGCCTTTTTTCCCTGAAGGTCAGAGTGAGCTCCTCGATTCAGCACCCCGAAGCTCCGCTGCACGTCGCCGGCTTCCACCTCCCCTGCAAGGTGAGCCTTCTGTGCACCCTCTTGCTCAGATGCTTCTGCCGCCGTCGTACCCCACGGCTGTGCCCAGCAGCCCATTTACCTGGACTGATGGGATTGTCGGGGGATTTACAGATAAGAAATGAAAGCATTGTCAGTACTGTCTGACCTGACACGTGTGTCATGTCCTTTTACCTACAACCCACTCCATTTTCAGGTGGTTTTTCTTTGTTTTGTTTTGTTTTGTTTTTGTCTTTGAGACAGGGTCCCAATCTGCAGTTCAGGCTGGCCTTGAGCTCATTTTGTAGCCCTCAATGGTCTCAACTCCAAATGTTCCTCCTGCCTCAGCCTCCAGTGCTGGGAGTATAGGCATGTGACACCACATCCAGCCAGTTTTCAAGTTTTTAGATCACTGTTAGGAAAAAAAGCCATGTACACATCTGAAATCTCAGCTCCTGGGATGCTGTAGCAGGAGGATCTGTGAGTAATAAATATTACTGTTCATCTCAGCCTAAACCACCTCAAGAAACTGTAGAATCTGGGTCTCCAGCCAGTGAGCCCGAGCACCCGGAATTCAGCTCCTTCCTGTTCTGGAGGAACCCTCTGCCTAATATCGACCATGAGCTACAGCAGCTGCTGGTAAGGCCCTCCCACCTCCCCCTCTCAGCAGCACAGGAGCTTCTTGCCACCATTCCTGTGGGCTGGTGGGGTGAATTCTGTTGCTGTTTCAGATTGACAGAGGTGAGGAGGAGGAGGAGGAGGAAGGTGATGGTTCTGAAGAAAGTCGAGGTGAAGACAGTGATGAGGATGGCGGTGGCTGGATAACCCCCAGCAACATCAAGCAGATCCAGCAGGAGCTGGAGAAGTGTGACAGCCCGGAGGACGTGCGTGTTGGCTGTGTGACTACCGACTTCGCCATGCAGGTGCGGGAGGCGTCATCTTAGTTACCTTTCTTGTGGCTCAGACAAAATGCCCAACACTGAAAGTCAGAGGAGGAAAGGCTTATTTCTGCTTAGTTGGCTCCAAGGCAGGGTGGTGTGGAAGAGGTTGTCAGAGGAGAAACCCTGCCTGGCAAGGCAGAAGGCAGCAAAAGCAGCATGAGAAGTGACTCTTTTTCTGTCCTTTATATTTCATCCAGGGAACAGCACTTACGCCCAGGGTGGCACGCCCTTAATCCTACCCAGAACCATGCCAAACCAGTCAGAGGACTGATTTAGTAATCACACATCCTTGATCCCAGCAACGCACCCTCTGGCACCTCTGGAAAAGCCCCTCCTGGTCACAAACCATAACGGGGACGCAAACCATAACAGGCAGGCACAGGCCAGCCCTGGGCTGCGTGGTATATTTTGCCCACAGCGGTCATGTGGAGATTTAGAGACATGTACAGAGCTGTGTGCTTCTGATTTTCCTATTTATGGAACATTTACCTGTGCTATTTGCAAATTGTTAACTGTTAACACATGTTACTTAACACTGACAATCAGTTGGTCAGTTTGTAATCGATGTGTTTCTCTCAGTGTGTCTAATGCCATGGGTTCAAGCCCCAGTACGTGGGTCCCCATAACTGGTGGCGGAGCCGTGTTGTGGGGCAGCCTGGCTCAGGCCGCATGGGCATCCTTGCTTGCAGAATGTCCTGCTGCAGATGGGGCTACATGCACTGGCAGTGAATGGCATGCAGATCCGAGAGGCCCGGAGCTACATCCTGCGCTGCCACGGCTGCTTCAGGTGAGGAGATTGGTTACCTTCTCTGTTTCAGATTCTGGATTTGGGGATCGGGGGCACCAGCTCAGCCCGCCCTGGGGATGAGGCTGGCGCAGCATGTGGTGCTGGAGAAGGAACTGAACCACTGTCCCTGTAAGCTTGCCTAAGAGGCGCTTTAGTCCACTGAACTGTCTCGCAGGCCCCTTTGTTTCGTTTTTGTCTCGGGACAGCATCTCACTGTGAAGTCCAGGCTGGCCTCAAAACTCATGATCCTCCTGCCTCAAATATGCACCACATGCCCAGCTTTCAGAGTCATAAATAAAATGGCAAGTGTCCTTGTGAAGAACAAGAAAGACATGTCAAGGGGAGGATCAGTTTACTGGCTGTTCCTCCTGCCTTCCCAGCTCTGCTGTGCTCTTCCCGAGGCGGGTGCTGTTCTGTGCAGCCCTGGCTCCAGTGTGCAGGTGGCCCAGGCCTCATCTGGGGCAGCTTCCAGCCCTCCGCATCCACGGCTGGATCTGGTGGAACCCATGGTGCAGGGGCCGATAGGAAGGGCTTAGCCCCTTCGCAGGTGCCGTCTCAGCCCTGACCTGGGAGCCAGTTTTGAATCCTGGAGGACATGGACCACTCAGCCCTTGGCAGTAGCAGTGTTTTACTGCTCAGCACTGTGCCCTGGGTTGATACCCACCCAGGCTGACGTGTGGGGCAGGGTGGGTTCAAGCTGCTTGAGAAAGGGCACCACCACAGCTTCTCCATGCCAGGCTGCCTGGGCCTGTGCTGTCCCCTGGGTTCTAGGGTGAAGAACAGATGCTCCCCATGCCCACAGGGGTCTCAGTAACCCTGGAGAATGGTGGCAAACGTTCTGGTCAGAGTTGGTTATCAGGGTAAGAGATTCCTGTTCCCTTTTTCCAGTTCTCATGGGCTTTGTGTGCCCCTTACTTCCTTCACTACTTCCGTTCAAGGAAGGGAGCAACACTTGGCTCCCATCCTCCCTTGGTGTGGGCCAGGCGCCCTCTGTGTAATTCAGGTGTACAGTGCATGTGAGGCCAAGGAAGGATAGGACGAAGGCAAGTGTGAGGCCAGCCTGGGCAGCTTAGACCCTGTCTCAAAATAAACAAAAGTGCCGGACTTCTCTGGGTTTGGTCCTTAGTCCTGCAAACAGACAGACGTGGGCAGGGTGCCCCTGAGCTGCTGCTTGTTGCATCCTCCTCCCCCAAGGCCGTGAGTCATGCTGTGCTGCAGCACCAGCACACAGCCTCTCCTCTGTCCCCAGGACCACATCTGATGTGAGCCGGGTGTTCTGCGCGCACTGTGGTAACAGGACCCTGAAGAAAGTGTCGGTGACCGTGAGCATCGACGGCTCCATGCACATGCACTTCTCCCGCAACCCCAAGGTGCTGAACCCCCGAGGCCTCCGGGTGAGTCCCGTCCCCCAACCTGCCCCCCCACCGCCAGGCTCAGAGGAACAAGGGACAGCAGAAGAGCTCTGGTGGCAGCTGCTGGATACAGGCCCAGGAGCCTGGGGACCAGGAATCGTGCCCAGCACCCTATGCCTGCAATGAGGGCCGGTCTGGAACGGCTGCCAGAGACCCCACAGAGAGAGGTGCGGGCCCAGAAGATGGGTGTGAGAGCGAGTTTTCTTTCTAATGGTACTGGAGAGTGAACCCAGCACTTAAAAAAAATTTTATTTATTTATTTATTT